GGGAGGAAACAGATAACTTATAAGGGAAAACCAATCAGGTTAACTTCTGACTTCTCCGAAGCAACATTATGGCCAAGAAGAGAATGGTGTAACATTTCAGCAAACTTCAAGACAGCAAATGGCAACCTAGAATACTTTACCCTGCAAAGCGCTCCTTCCTCTACGAAGAAAAAATATGGACCTTCCCAGACGAAGAGAAACTCCAGAAATTCATTACAACCAAACCCACACTTCAAAAAATTCTACAAGAAGTTCTAACACCAAAACCAACAGAAGAATGAACAAGAAGAACAGAATAAAGCAAGACAAACAAAATGGCAAACACAGATGCCAATATATCAATATTAACTCTAAATGTAAATAGATTAAACTCATCAGTAAAAAGACACAGAGTAGCAGGCTGGATTAAAAAACATAGTCCAACCTTCTGCTGTCTCCAGGAAACACATTTAACCATGAAAGATAAACACAGACTGAAAGTAAAAGGTTGGAAAACAATCCTAGAAGCAAATGGACCAAAAAAGAAAGCAAGAACAGTCATACTTATATCAGATGAAATAGACTTCAAATGAAAAAAAGTAAAAAGAGACATAGATGGACACTACATTATGATCAAGGGAACAATACATCAGGAAGATATAACACTCATCAATATATTAGACAATTATTATCAGCTCTGAAAACAGATATTAAAGAAAATACATATATAGTGGGAGATTTCAACACCTCACTCTCACCAATGGACAGATCAACAAGACAAAAAATAAACAAAGAACTAGAGTGCTAAATAAAGACATAGTACTCATGGACTTAACAGACATCTGTAGGACACGGCACCCAAAAAAATCCATTACACATTTTTCTCAAGTTCACATGGATCATTCTCCAGAATTGATCACTAATGGACCACAAGACAAACATCAATAGATACCTGAAAATCAAAATCATTCCAACTATCTTCTCCGATCATAAAGGCATCAAGCTAGAAATAAATCATGAAGAGAAAACAAGGAACTCTCACGCTTCATGGAGATTGAAATCCAACAACTGGAAGACCACTGGACTAATGAGGAGATCAAAGAAGAAATTAAAAAATAATTTGAGTTGAATAACTAGGAGGACACCACTTTCCTGAATGTATGGGATGCAGCATAAGCAGTAATAACAGGAAAATATATAGCAATACAGGCTCACCTCAGCAAACAAGAAAGAACTCAAAAAACCAACCTAATCTCACATCTCAAAGAACTAGAAAAAGAGCAACAAACCTAAAGCCAAGTAGAAGAAAGGAAATAACAAAAATCAAAGCAGAAATAAATGAATTAGAAATTAAAAAAACAATCCAAAATATCAATGAAACCAAAAGTTGGTTCTTTGAAAAAATAAACAAAATAGACAAACCTCTAGCCAGGCTCACAAAGAAAAAACAGGAGAAACACATATAAATAGGATTATAATGAAAGAGGAGAAATCACAACAGATTCCGTAGAAATCAAAAGAATAATCAGAGATTACTATGAACACTTATATGCAAACAAATTCAACAACCTAGAAGAGATAGACAAATTCCTAGAACGATATAATCATCCAAAGCTGGACAAAGAAGAAATAGAACAACTAAACACCAATTACAAGAAGCGAAATTGAAGCAGCAATCAAAGCACTCCCCCCCCAAAAAAAAACCCAGGCCCAGACAGATTCACAAATGAATTCTACCAAATATTCAGCAGTGAATAAGTGCCTATCTTACACAAACTCTTTCAAAAAATTGAAAAAGAAGGAATACTACCAAATACGTTCTATGAAGCCAACATTACACTAATACCAAAACCCAACAAAGACAGCACAATAAAAAGAAAATTACAGGCCAATCTCCCTAATGAACACTGATGCAAAAATCCTCAACAAAATCCTTGCCAACATAATCCAAGATGCATCCATAAGATAACTCAGCACAACCAAGGAGGATTTATTCCAGGGACACAAGGATGGTTCAACATCCAGAATCAATCAATGTAATCCAACACATCAACAAAAGAAATATAAAAACAATATGATAATATCCATAGATGCTGAGAAAGCATGTGACAAAGTACAACACCCATTTATGATAAAGGCCCTTGAAATTCTTGGGATACAAGGAACATACCTCAACATCATAAAGGCCATATATGACAAGCCAACAGCCAATATGATTCTCAATGGTGAAAGCTGAAAGCATTCCCATTAAGATCTGGAACAAGACAAGATATCCACTCTTAGCACTGCTTTTCAACATAATACTGGAAGTCCTAGCCAGAGCAATAAGACAAGAGAAAGACATACAAGGAATCCAAATAGGAAAAGAAGAAGTCAAACTATCACTATTTGCAGATGATACGATTCTATACATAGAGAATGCCAAAAACTCCACAGGAAAACTAATTCAATGAATCAATCAGTTTAGTAAAGCGGCAGGATACAAAATCAACGCACAAAAATCAGTAGCCTGCCAAAAACAAGCAATAAATCTGAAGAAGAAGAAATCAAGAAAACCATTCCTTTTATTATTGAAACAAAAAAAATCAAATACTTGGGAATAAACCTAACAAAGGAAGTAAAGGACCTATACAAAGAAAACTATAAAACACTGTTAAAAGAAATAGAAGAAGATACAAAGAAATGGAAAGACATCTCTTGCTCATGTATCAGAAGAATTAACATTATCAAAATGGCCATCCTCCCAAAAGCAATCTACATATTCAGTGCTATTCCAATAAAAATTTCAATCTCATTCTTCAAAGAAATAGAAAAAATATTAATGAAATTCATACGGAGGCACCAAAACCCTGAATAGCCAAAACCCTCCTGAAAAAAAGGAAGAGAATGGAGGCATCACACTCCCAGATTTCAAACTATACTACAAAGCCATAATCATCAAAACTGCATGGTATTGGAACCAGAACAGACACACAGGCCAATGGAACTGAATAGAAAACCCAGAAATAAACCCACAGATTTATGGTCAACTAATCATTTACAAAGGAGCAAAGAATATGCACTGGAGCAAAGAAAGTTTGTTCAATAAATGGTGCTGGGATAACTGGGTCGCTACATGCAAAAGAATGAAGCTTAACTACTACCTCACACCATGCACAAAAACCAACTCAAAATGGATTAAAGAACTAGACATAAGACCTGAAACCATAAAAATACATAGAAGAAAATATAAGCAAAACACTACATGACATGCACCTCAAAGCCATCTTTACAGACACATCACCCAAAGCAGTCACAGTGAAGGCAAAGATAAACAGCTGGGATTACATCAAATTAAAGAGCTTCTGCACAGCAAAAGAGACAATAACCAAAACAAAGAGAAACCCACCGACTGGGAGAAATTTTTGAACACAACACTAATGATAAAGGAATGATCACAAAAATCTACAAAGAGCTGATGAGACTCAACAAAATCAAAGAAAAAAATCCAGTCAAAAAATGGGCAGAAGAGTTAAAAAGAAACTTCTCCGAAGAGGAAATGCAAATGGCCACCAGGCATATGAAAAATGTTCAACATCACTTGTCATCAGGGAAATGCAAATGAAAACTACAATGAGATACCATCTCACACCAGTGAGAATGGCACATATTAAAAAAACTAGCAACAACAAATGTTGGCGAGGCTGTGGAGAAAAAGGAACTCTCCTACACTGTTGGTGTTAGTGCAAACTGGTCCAACCACTATGGAAAGCTGTGTGGAGATTTCTTGACCTACTAAACATAGAGCTTCCATATGATCCAGCAATTCCAGTCCTAGGTATTTACCCAAATGACACAGAAACTTTAATTCCAAAGGGCACCTGCATCCCTATGTTTATAGCAGCACTATTTATAATAGCTAAGCTATGGAAATAACCCAAAATGCCCAAAATAGATGACTGTCTCAAGAAGATGTGGTACATATACACAATGGAATATTACTCAGCAACCAAAAAAGATAAACACATGCAGTTGCAGCAACATGGATGGAGCTAGAAGGGATCATGCTCTGCGAAATAAGTCAGAAATAAAAAGAAAAATACCACATGGTCTCACTCATAGCAAGAATTTAGAAAACCTAAATAAGAGACCAGGAAAAAGACTAATCAATACAAAGTGAAAATCAAAATCAGCAAGCAACTATAAACTAGAGACACACTACTGGGGCAGGGAGTGGGGGGTTAGGGAGGGGGCAGGGAGAGGAAGAACTAGAGTCAAAATAAGGTGGGGCTGCAATTGTATGGGGAATATAATCAAAATGAAAATGCATACATTGTGCAAAGATAAAAAATTCATGTAAGAATTATATAAAATAAAATATTTAAAAAAAACAAAATGAGTGGTGTAAGCAATTGTTTGTGGCATCTAGTGAAATACAGAACAGTTGGTCACTCTGTCTTTGAAATCAGGAAGGCAGTCACCACTTATATTCATGTGACTTAGACTATCAGAAGCAAACTCTTTTTGTGCCCTAATATGGGTAATTCCCTGGAGTGTTACCTAGCTAGGTTTCTAAGGATGCACGACTTTAGCCTCCCCATTAGTTAAAGACAGAGTCACTACAGGATGAAAACTCAGACTGCTAAATGAGTTGTAAAATTCTAGATAGGCTCAATAATTGATCAAGTAGGCCGTGAAATGTTTTCAAATTTGTGGCATGCAGGAATCTTTGGCATACATATAACTTATCACTATTACAGTATCACCTATGAAATCTAAATACAGAACTTCTTGGGAAAATGAAGAAATATGCTTAAACTCTCCACAGAGAAGAAATGTTGAAGATTGTGACTATGCAAATTTGTCCAACAATGAAATCAAGAATGTTGGCATGATTCAAGTGAATATCTTGGAGCACAGACTGACATGACAGTCGTCTCTATATTGGGCCTCCAAATTTGAAATTTACATCCAAGTAGAAACTCAGAAACCTTCAGAACTGCAGTCTATATAGTTTTCAAAGAATTCAATGAAAATATTCCTTAAAATTTTACTTCAAACATCTTGGTGCCCCCATCACCTTTGTACAGAGGTGCATTGAGTTCCACTAGGAAGCAGTTGCTGTCCTTGTGTCCATGGGTGCTATCTAGCGGTCTCTGTGCAGGATCCACAAAGATCAAATATCTGCTTGCTATATGACCTGATCAGAGAGAGGAAAAATATCCTTGGTAAGAATACTATCTGTGGGCCTCCCCTGGTGGGGCAGGCGGTTGAGCGCAGCGCTGTGAAGTGGTTTGCAGCCTCTGCAGCACGGTTCCATCCCAGCCAGTGAGGGTCCCAAATGGCACAGCCGACCTCTCCTGTCATGCTTGCTGCTCCCCTCAGCAGTATATTTTGTCAGTCTTCCTGTTCTGTTCCCCGCTCTGTCTCTGGTGAATCCTCTCACCCTCCCATGGATCTGGTCTGTACCTGGTTCTAGTATAAATAAATAAATCTTTAAAAAATAAAAAAAGAATACTATCTGTTTCTGAATATCATATCCAAAACCATAATAGAATATTGATGGTAGCAAATTGCAATATTGTAATTTACACAATATATATTCACTCTTTATAGATATATATATACACACACACATACGTATACATGTGTGTGTGTTCTTTTGACCAAAATATATTTCTTACCTATAATTGTCTTCATTTAAAGTTCCTGGTTCATAGACATAAGACCTGAAACCATAAAATATATAGAAGGAAATATAGGCAAAACACTACATGACATGCACCTCAAAGCCATCTTTACAGACACATCGCCCAAAGCTGTCATAGTGGAGGCAAAGATAAACAGCTGGGACTACATCAAATTAAAGAGTTTCTGGACAGCAAAAGAGACAATAACAAAAACAAGGAGAAACCCCACAGACTGGGAGAAAATTTTGCACACAACACTAATGATAAAGGACTGATCACAAAAATCTACAAAGAGCTGATGAGACTCAAAAAAAAAAAAAAAAAAAGAGGGCCTCCCTGGTGGCGCAGCAGTTGAGCACTGGGTTGCGAAGCTGCCCCCAGCCCCTGCAGTGCTGGTTTGCTCCCCGGCCACAGTAGGAGGGTCCCACATGGCGCGAAGACCTCTCCTGCCGCCCGCTGCTCCCCTCAGCAGTGTACTTCGGTCCTTCTGCCTGCTCTGTTCCCCGCTCTGGCTCTGGTGAATTCTCTCACCCTCCCGTGCTTCTGACTGTGCCCAGTGCTTATATACATAAATAAATAAATAAATAAATCTTTAATAAATAAATAAATAAATAAATAAAATTTAAAAAGAAAGAAAGAAAATAATCCAGTAAAAAAATGATTAACTAAAAAAGAACTAAAAAGAAACTTCTCCAAACATGAAATGCAAATGGCTGGCCAACAGGCATATGAAAAAATGTTCAACATCACTTGCAATCAGAAAAATGCAGATCAAAACTACAGTGAGATACCATCTCACGCCAGTGAGAATGGCACATACTAAAAAAAACTAGCAACAACAAATGTTGGCAAGGATGTGGAGAAAAAGGAACTCTCCTACACTGCTGGTGGGAGTGCAAAATGGTCCAACCACTATGGAGAGCTGTGTGGACATTTCTTGACCTACTAAAGATAGAGCTTCCATATGATCCAGCAATGCCACTCCCAGGTATTTACCCAAATGACACAGAAACTTTAATTCCAAAGAGCACCTGCACCCCTATGTTTATAGCAGCACTATTTACAATAGCTAAGCTATGGAAACAACCCAAATGCCCAAAAATAGATGACCGAATCAAGAAGATGTGGTATGTATAACAATGGAATATTACTCAGCAATCAAAAACGATAGACTCATGCAATTTGCAGCAACATGGATGGAGCTGGAAGGGATCATGCTCTGCAAAATAAGTCAGAAAGAAAAAGAAAAAGAAAAATACCGGATGGTCTCACTCACAGCAGGAATTTAGAAAACTTAAATAAGGGACCAGGAAAAAGACTAATTGCAATAAAGTAAAAATCAAAATCAACAAGCAACTATAGACCAGAGACACATTACAGTGGGAGGCAGAGGAAGGAGAAGAGGGATTAGGGTCAGAATAAGGGGGTGGGAATTATATGGGGAATATAAAAAAAAATGAAAATGCATAAATTATGCAAAAATAAAAAATGATATAAGAATTATATAAATAAAATAATTTATATATATATATAAAGTAAAAATGAGAGGGGCCTCCCTGGTGGCACAACCTATGAAGCTATCAGCAACCACTGCAGCACAGTTTCCATCCCCAGCCAGGGAGGAGACCCACATGGCGCAGCAGACCTCTCCTGACTCACCTGCTGCTCCTCTCAGCAGTGTATTTCAGTCAATCTGCCTGTTCTGTTCCCCACCATGTCTCTGGTGAATCCTCTCACCCTCCACACCTCTGGCCTATACCCCAGTTCTTGTATGTATATAAAAATAACTCTTTAAAAAAATATGTAAGTTCCTGGTTCACACCTCACAAATGTCTTAGAATTTCCGATGTGTTAAGAATATTCCAGGTGTCTCTTGGTAAGTTAAGAAAACCATATTATGGTTTGGAAAATACCTGAAGATGGGGACTGGTTGCCAGGGAAACAAGCATGAAGCAAAAATTGTGCAAGGTCTGGCAGGAGTCAAAATGTCAATGGTTGGTGTTTTCTCACCTGTGCACTTTCCACTGCAGTTGCACTCAGGCTAAAATTTCAACAACAGGGTTTAAGAGAGAAGTTAGGAGAAAGGAAAAGAGTTAGAGGCAGGGCTAGATGCAATAGGATAGCCCCAGGAAAAATGCGAACAAATTATCACATTTCTTCTAATAAGAAATATAAGGTACTGGGCCTCCCGGGTGCACAGCAGGTTGAGCACAGCACTGTGAAGCTCAGCACAGTGCTGTGAATTGTTGGCAGCCTCTGCAGCACCGGTTCTATTCCCGGCCAGCCAGGGAGAAACCCACATTAAACAGCAGACCTCTCCTGCCTCACCCGCTGATCCCCTCAGCAGTGTTTTCAGTCCATCTGCCTGTTCTGCTCCTCGCTCTGTCTCTGGTGAATTCTTTCACCCCCCCCCCCAACTCTGGCCTGTACCCCAGCTCTTTTATAAATAAATAAATCTTAAAAAAAAAAAAAAAGAAAAGAAATACAAGGTACTGCAGAAGCAGCCCTGGAATTCACTGTTTGGGATTCAACCTTTGGCATTTAGTGTTCAGGATTCAGCATTTTCAGATTTTCAGTGATTCCAGGGTCAGCGATTTCTGCCCCCACCATGTCAATCTTCCAGAAGGCTGTCATGGACCTCTGAAGGACGTGAAGAAGCCTCCTACAGCCAACCTCAGAGATGATAGGATCAGAGGCTTTACAGGTAGCCGAGAGCCTGAAACTGCTCCCAGCTTTACTGCTGTTACAGCCTATCAGGGAAGAGAAAGGCCCAGAGTAGGGCACCTCACTGAGCTGCGTGAGTGTGGCTGTTTGTCGGGTCATTCAGCAGCTATTTTGAGTGTTGCTTCTCTGGTGCTGGGATGAGGCATCTTGGCAGTTCCGGGAGCATCCCATGTTGTGTCTTCTGTTGACTTCCTGAGTTGGAACCTGGCCTATAGTCTGGCTGCCACATGTTCCAGGTCCACAGTGGTGGGAAGACGCCATCTTGGGAGTGTGGACTTTTGTTCAGGAGAGGAGCTCTGTGTCCTCAGTGGCTGGAAGATGCCATCTTTGGAGTGTTAGTGTTTAGGACTTTAAAAACACTGGACACTGCTTTGGCTAAATGGCCATTTTTGGCCTCAGTAACTCTTTGTTTTTCCCTAGTTTGTTAAATAAATCCCATTATTGTTCTCTGAACCTAAGCAGTCTTGCAATTGTGTGCACAGTGAAGACCTCAGACAGTAATAGAGTAACTATTTTGGCAGTGTTCTTGGTCAGTTTCAGTGCCTCTTGTTGCGCTATATCAACTTGAACATCATTTTGGCTCTATTACAGCTATATGTTCACTAAAATCTCTGAAACTCCATTTAGCCTTTCATGAAAATAGTGATGCTAATATTTGGCATATTGAATTATTATAAGAATTAAAGAAAAGGGCACAAAGTGAATTACATGTCTTGCTTAGGGGTATCGATACTATAAAAGTTATAATTATTTTTTCCTAAAAATATCTACAAACTGATATTCAAAATCTAGGAGAGCAAAGTAAACACCATCTGCAGAATATGCCACCCCAAAATATGCTCTTTGGCATATGATCATTTTGATCTGGTAAGTTGGTATTAGATGATATAATTGCTGTAGATTACTGTTGACTGAACAAGGAGACTGTGTCATAGCAAATACCTCCTGCAATACCTGGATCAAGACCTCTAAAATTGTGAAAACTGAAGTATAAGAAATTACAAAGAAGGGCCTCCCCTGTGGCGCATTGGTTGAGCACTGGGTTGCGAAGCTGCCCACAGCCTCTGCAGTGCCAGGTGGATCCCCGGCCGCCTCTGAGGGTCCCACATGGTGCACAGACCTCTCCTGCCAAGCCCACTGCTCCCCTCAGCAGTGTACCTCCGTCCTTCTGCCTGTTCTGCTCCCCGCTCTGGCTCTGGTGAATTCTCTCACCCTCCTGCGCTTCTGACTATACCCAGTACTTGTATAAATGAATAAATAAATCTTTAAAGAGAGAGAGAGAGAAGAACTATTGATTTAAAAAAAAAAAAAGAAATTACAAAGAAGCCACTTACTAAAACAGGTTAATGCCTCTTTAGGTAAATTCTTTGATATATTTGATACCAAGTGGCTTGGGTTTCATGGACCTTGTCTAAGGAGTTTATTTCATTCTCTTGGTATAATCCTTCTGATACTCATCACTATAGTCTCCCTGGTCTCACTTGGAGAAACAAAGTAAGAAATGAAATAGACAGCAAAGGTTGTCCAAGAACCTGACATCATCACCTGTGAGTTTCACAGAGAAATAAGAATTTAAACCAGATAGTAACTGAGTGCTGCTAATACCAAAATTTTGTCACCCTGAAAGTAAACCATTGAGAAAATAATTATTAAAGCTCCCTGAGAAAAGGTCTTAGGCCTGGTGCAGTTAACATTCCAATGCCAATCGTAATTAACAAGATTGCTCACTTAGGAAATCTTTCCTTAGAGGAGCTTTATGACTAAATTTATTTAAAAAAAGTAACATTTCAAGTGGGTGGTAGCTGGTCAAGCTGGTCTGCCTCTCCAAGGCCATCACGGAATGCCTGTATCTTTCGCCCTTTACCTGTCCACTGCCCTTGTCTGGGGACTTTGTAGCAAATGGTTGTGCCTGCTGAAAAATGATGTTATTGATGTAACAAACATGAAGACAGCTATGTATAAAAGGATCCCTATGTCTTTAAACCAGGGCTCAGACCTTACAGGGCTACCCACTGATCTCACCATTCCACTTGTTCTGCTTCTGCCTGGGTAGAATCTACGCTCTCCTAGATTTTCAATATCAGTTTGTAGATATTTTTAGGAAAAAAGAATTATAACTTTTACAATATCAGTACTCCTAAGCATGACATCTAATTAATTTTATTGCATGTTTTCTTTAATTCTTGTAATAATTCAATATGCCAAAAATTAGCATCAATATTTTCATGAAAGGCTAAATGGAGTTTCAGATATTCTATAACAACCCTCTCATGAATGACCAAGACAGGGGAATTCTTAAAGTTAATAAGCAAAGCGGTCACTAGACTGAAGTGGCTTTAATGCCTTAGTAGCCTACAGAAGCAACACAAGCCTAAGCCAAAGTCAGTTCCTGTAAATGCACTCAGATCCCAGAGAGCAAAATTTAGAACAATTATGACATGCCAGTTAGGTCTTTCCCAGTAGGACAACCACTTAAGTTACAACCAATCAAATTATTTCTTTGCTTTGCCACTCCATCTTTGCTGTGAAAACCTTTCCTAGCTCCTGTTGACAGAATGCTCTTAACCACTTTCAGTTTGACACTGTCTGATCTGAGTCAATTTTTGCTCAAATAAATTCTTGAAATTCTTAGTGCACCTCAGTCTACCATTTAATAATCTTATCAGACTTACTAATAAATACCAAGTCTGTACCTATGATTTAAAGAATTGAAACAAAGTGTTCAGAAAACTGAATAGCCACAGGTGTTTCATTTACATACAACAGTTTTCTTTTATAAAATAAATAGGCATAGAGTATTACTAGAATTCAAACTGCATAGAAGAAAAAAGCAAATATATATCTTCCCTTGTAAAAGAATATACTTGTAAAATTGCTCTCAGTGGCAAAGTCTATTTTAAGTTTACAGAAAAAATATGCAGAAAGTAGACTTCCCACATACCTCCTATGCACCCCTACTTTACATGTAGTCCCATTATTTGCATTCATGTGGGACATTTGCTATCATTGATTAGCCAATACAAAATCATTGTTATTCATTAATTTTCTTAATTTAGATTAGGGTTCATGCTTTACTGTACAGGTCTGTGATGGCATAAATGCCATCTATCTCGCATGACAGTATCATACAGAACAATTCACTGACCTAAAAATTCTCTGTGCTCCACCTAGTCATTTCTCTCCTGCTCTTCCTGAACCCCTGGCAGCCTGTTGTCTTTTTACTGTCTCTGTAGGTTTTCCTTTCCAGAATACCATATAGTTGAAATCATACGGTGTGGAGATTATACAGTCTAAGATTATTCTTAGGTTCTCCATATTCTTTCATAGCTTAATAGTTTATTTCTATCACTGAACAATCTTCATTGTAGAAATATACTCAATTTGTCCAGTCACCTATTGAATGATAGTTTGTTTGTTTCCAGGTTGCTGCAATTATGAATAAAGTGGCTCTAAACATCTGTGGGCAGGTTTTTGTATGAACAGCTTCTCATTAGAGACATTTCAGTAGAGATAGGCTTTGGCAGTGATCACTTAAGGCTTGTTGGGTGAATTTTATGTGTGTTGTAACACTCTCTAGGCAATGGGGAGACATAGCCAGCAGTCAAATGATGCCACCAGTGGAAAACTGCATATGCCCACCTGCCTGTGAGCAGGAGATGGGCAGCTTCAGGAATTTTCTTTGGGTCAGCACACCATACATGGTAGCAGAGGAGCGGCGGGGGGGCATTGTCAAGAATGAGATGGACTGGGGGTGAGGGTGGGTATGCCAGACAGGGACCCGCACTTGAGCTAGGGCATCAACACCACCCATTGATGAGAAAATATATTATTTAGCAAATGGATATAGTAAAGATCGTAGAAGGACTTCCAGCCCAGGTGCAATGAACACCCCTATGCAGGCATAATTAACAAGTTTGCTTACTTAAAGATCTTTCCTTTGAAAGATTCATGGCCAGGGCCTCCCTGGTGGTGCAAAGGGTTGAGATGCAACCTATGAAGCTGTCCACAGCCTCTGCAGCACGAGTTCGATTCCACCCAGCAGGCCAGGGTGCAATCCACATGGTGCCGCAGACCTCTCCTGACTTGCCCACTGCTCCCCTCAGCAGTGTGCTTCGATCTGTCGTCTTCTGATCCCCATTCTGTCTCTGGTGAATACTCTCACCTGCCCTCTGCAGCACCTCTGGCCTCTACCCAGCTCTTGTATGCATAATTAAATGAATCTTTAAAAATAAAATAAAAAGATTCATGGCCAGGGCCTCAGCACTCCTATCTAAGCAAAGTTGCATTTCAAAAGAGGCTGGTAGCCAGTCAAGCTGGTCTGTCTTTAAACCACATGAGTAATAAAGCTTTTCCTGACCTCCCCATTCCTGAAGCACCACTTGTTCTTCCTCTGCCTGGGTAAAAGGCCAGAATTTCTACAACACCTTCAGTGGAATGTGTTCCATTGCAGGTCTAGTGAGTTTCAACAGGTTCAACTTGCAGCAGGACAATTAAATCCCAAGGAGGACTAAGTAGGTCTCCTTCATCAGGGGTGTGAAGAAACTCACCCATCCCCACAGGAAGGCCATGGCAAATTCCAGTGGAGAATTTCTTTCGCAGGTATGATGGGGCTTGCTGTTCTCAGAAGCATGGCACATTACCCCATTGTGAGAGTGGGGGCACTCCACTTTGTAATATCGGTGTCTCACTAAGGATCCCCATTCTGGCATATGGGGAAACAGGTCCTACTGGTTGATCATTCAAATGTATTAAGGTCTAGGACAATACTTTAGTCCACCCATCAAGATGTTTCCCTGTTAGTAAGTAAATCTTGCCTTAATAATCATTTCTTCCTTTCTTCAGTCCTCATGCTTGCAGGTTATAGTCGCAATAAAACTTCCATTTATTATCATATTCTTTTGCCCAGTTTTGTATATCATAATCTTTGAAATGTGACACCTCACACCTGCCCATCACTATCTAGTTGACTAGATAGATGTACATTGTGATCAGTTTTTAAATCCCCTAGTGGTGGCAGCCTGGTTTG